TTTTGCTTATTGATAAAATCAATGCCAAGAATATTCTCGGTGGCATTACTATACCAAATATCAATGTTAGTTTTCACTAGCCCAGGTATTTCAAATGTTACATTGGGTACCTGTCTAGCAGCATGGAATGACCTGTATTATTAAAACCTTTTATTTTACACATGGGTGAATTTGGTTTCACAGGTACGTTTTCTCTGGTCAGATTAATCTCAGATCCGCTGTCAATTAGGAATCTGATCTTTTTACCATTTAGTAATCCGTCTATAAAAGGCCTTCCATTGTCATCCAATACAATTGGAGCGACAAATTCTAACGATATCGGGGATGAATGTGGACGTGATTCTATTTTTGGAACTGGTAATAAACCATTTCTGTCAGTGACAGCCCTTCTCACCCTGTTGTCAGAACAGTTGTTTCTAGTCAAAGTGTGAATTTGTTTAACTGTTGAAGCAGAAGGCAATTCAGTTAAATTTTTATCATTACACAACACAGCAGGTTGTACAAAAGCTGCTTTTTCACTTTTTATTTCCAGTTTCTTTATTGTGTGAGTCAAATTTAAACTTCCAACAATGGCGTCTGATATGACCTTGTTTATGACAGTGAAAGCATGTGGTATCCTCATTATGGCTCGCTTGCTTGCATCTGTCTTTGTCATTCTTACTGGGACCTGTAGTTCCTGGCATAACTGTAGTCTGACTGTTTTTGTCACTTTGAAGCGCAGCTACCTCATAAGTGATATTGCTATTTTTCAATTTTCTTCGAATTTTATCAATGAAACTTACTATCTCATTCAGATTTTGTTTTTCCTCTGCTATGACAATGGTTACTGGGTCTAAATACGTGAATTTCTTTACAAAAGCTTTGATCATAGCTGAGTCTTCCTCATTTTCTACTCCAAATATAATTTTATATGCTTTGGAAAACTTAATTTTAAATTCAAAAGGGTCTTCGTCAGCAGTAGTCTGCAGTAAGTCGAGCATTTCTACAGAAGGTACGTCTTCACCTGTTGAACATAACAGCAATTGTCGCAGTCTGTCTGTCGCGTCATTATGTTTTTTCTGATCTTTATCGTTAACAACAGAATTTTTTAATTCGAGACATAAATTTAATTGGGAGCCACATCGGAAACAAATAATTTATGTCATGATCTGAAATCTGATGGCATTTGACATGCATTTCATATACTTCCATGTTGCTATAGATATCTTTATCTGGATCATAAGCAGGAATGTCTTTTAAAACTTTCATTAATTGATTATGTATTTGCAACTTAAGTTTTGCAGTTTTACATAACAATTCTTTATGTTTAATTTGTGTTTCGTCATCAGAGTCAATATATCCGAACTTTCAGAGAAATCGGACAGACGTGGCTCTGATTTTGAATCACTCTGTTTGTCATCTGTGTTAATCATGGCAACCTGTTTACTGTCATTCTGCAGTCTTAACAAAAGATTTGTCTTTGAGTCAATTTGTTTCTCAAGATTTTTCTACGTAAGTACAGAAAATGTCACAGTTTGGGCAACTAGGAGCATCTTGAGACAAATTTTCATGCTGTACAGTGCTACATTCTGTCTGTTTTAATGTACAAGCTTTTTTAACAGGTAAATCAACATTCAAAATCATTTTGTTGAATATTCTTACTAAATTTAAGATGTTTAGATATCTTCTTACGCTGTCTGTGCACAGTAAATTTAGATTTATCTATCTGAATATTGGCCTGTAAACATTCGTTATACATATAGTGCCATAGCTGACTGTCTTCAGGATATAAAGAAACATCATTAAATTCTAACTTGCTTTCATTAACTAAGTCATCAATAAACTCCATAATTGTTACTCACCGTAATCAGAAGATTTTCTCGTTTGACCCGGCTCAATCACTGGAATTCTCGTCCAAGTCTGTATAATCGCCTGTTCTGCTAGGTACTTTTCACCGTGTTTTCCCAGGACTTGACAATCACAGAATTGTGCGTAGTGTTTCCCCCTTAACAAGGCATGGGGAAATCCGTAGAAAAAACGTTCGGCGGTGGCTGGCTCACCAAAATGTTGGATTTTTAGACACATATAATACTTCTTCTAGTGTCTTGAGGCGATTATGAATGAAAGAGCCATTGAAATAAAAATGAAGTGTGATTTTATTCTATCACACAATGGTGTCAAATAACAATGTAAAGCGTATTATGAACAGTTCCATGTAGATAAAACTATTGTAAAAAATGACAACTACTAGGTTTAAAACAAAGTCACCATTATCTGTCATGGCTGTCCTGGCCATGTGCGATGCTCCATGTCCTTGTCCTTAATGCTGTCCTTCTAGACTTTGTAAAGAAGCCGGAAGTAGATGGAGATGATGATCTGGTCTTGCAGCACCTGTTCCAACATCTCAGACGTGTGTATGCTAGAGTGTCATATTAGTGTGTGAGTGAGTGTGTGTTCCCCTGTCTCTGTGTCTCATGCACTTTTAAGAGGCAAATGTACGTCATACTTCGTGATCTTAATACCTTCTATGGAAAGTATTACTGCTTAGCAAAGCCAATTCATAAAAGGGAAAGATGCTATACATATGATGTTTGATGGACAGGAACATATGTATGCTGATGTACCAATGATGTAACCCTCAGCTATATATAAAGAATAATTATAGCTTAAGAACATATCAATGTATAATCACTAAACTATATATGTATCAATATTAGAAACGTATACTAAATACACACAGATTATTATTAAAATACGTACTGTAATAGTAAATCACTTCTAATAACCTTGACATAACTACCAAATACTTTTAACCAACTATCTCTAAATATAGTCTACTCAACTTTCAACTGGTATATACTATTTCAGCTTAACTTGTATATCTTTTGGTCTCAGCTATAATTGAAGAATAGTAAATACTACCATTTGTCACAGACCACTTACATATATTAATATTAATTATGACTAATCATAAAAACCAAATATTTTGCAAGCTTGCCATCAATATAAATGCCGAATCATAATTTAGATTTAACAACAGCACAGAATACGCCTTCTGGAGTGGCCCAGTCAGAGTCCTGACCTCAACCCCATTGAAATGCTGTGGCATAACCTTAAGAGAGCGATTCACACCAGACATCCCAAGCATATTGCTACACTGAAACAGTTTTTGTGAAGAGGAGTGGTCCAAAATGACTCCAGATCGTTGTGCAGGTCTGATCTGCAACTACAGGAAACGTTTGGTTGAGGTTATTGCTGCCAAAGGAGGGTCAACCAGTTATTAAGTCCAAAGGTTCACATACTTTTTCCTCCCTGCACTGTGAATGTTTACATGTTATGTGCAATAAAACCATGGCAACATCTCATGTTTGTGTAGTATTATGTTCAGCAGACTGTGTTCTTCTATTGTTGTGACTTAGATGACGTTCAGAGCACATTTTATGCCCAATTCATGCAAAACTCCACGTAATCCCAAGGGGTTCACATACTTTTTCTTGCAACTGTATTCTGATCAGTGCATGCAACCGTCATGGCCTCCTCATCAGGGTGGAGCCTAGAGCTGACCATGAAGAGGGGGAGCAAGAGAGGAGATTCCATCCATGTTGGGTATCACGGCCACGGACCCTAGATAAGTGCAATAGATGATCGATCTCCTCCCTCTCTTTTTCCCCCCCTCTCCCCCCCCCCCTCCTCTCTCTCTCTCCCCCTCTCCCTCTCCCCCCTCTCTGTCTCGCCCCCCCTTCCTCTCTCTCTCCCCCCTCTCTCTCTCCCTCCTTTCTCTCCCCCTCCTCTCCCCCTCCTCTCCTCTCCCCCCCTCTCTCCCCCTCCTCCCTCCCCCTTCCCCTCCTCTCTCCCCTCCCTCTCCCCTCTCTCTCCCCCCTCTCTCCCCCTCCCCTCTCCCCCCTCCCTCTCTCTCCCCTCCTCCTCTCTCCCCCCCCTCTCCTCTCTCCCCCCCCCTCTCTCTCCCCTCCCCTCTCCCCCCTCCTCTCTTTCCCCTCCCCTCTCCCCCCTCCTCTCTTTCCCCCCCTCCCCTCTCTCTCTCTCCCCCCTTCTTCTCTCTCCCCCCCTCCTCTCTCTCCCCCCCTCCTCTCCCCCCTCCCCTCCTCTCTCCCCCCTCCTCTCTCCCCCCCCCTCCCCCCCTCCTCTCTCCCCCCTCCTCTCTCCCCCCCCTCTCTCCCCCCCTCCTCTCTCCCCCCCTCCTCTCTCCCCCCCCTCTCTCCCCCCCTCCTCTCTCCCCCCCTCCTCTCTCTCTCCTCCTTTCTTTCCCTCCTCTCTCTCCCCTCCTCTCTCCCCCCCCTCTTTCCCCCTCCCCTCTCCCTTCCCCCCCTCTCCCCTCCCCCTCTCTCCCCTCCCCTCCCCCTCTCTCCTCTCTCTCCCCTCCCCTCTCTCTCCCCTCCTCTCTCTCCCCCTCCTCCTCCCTCTCTCCCCCCTCCTCTCTCCCCCCTTCACTCTTTCCCCCTCCTCTCTCTCCCCCCTCCCCCCATCCTCTCTCTCTCCCCCCCCCCCCTCTCTCCCCCCCTCCTCTCTCTCTCCCCCCTCCCCCCCTCCTCTCCCCCCCCCCCCCCCCCCTCTCCTCTCCCCCCCCTCCTCTCCATCCCTTCTCCCCTCCTCTCCTTCCCTCCCTCTCTCCCCCCACCTCCCTCTCTCTCCCCCCCTCCTCTCTCCCCCCTCCTCTCTCCCCCCTCCTCTCCCCCCCTCCTCTCTCTCTCTCCACCCTCCTCTCTTTCCCCCTCCTCTCTTTCTCTCCCCCTCCTCTCTCTCCCCCCTCCTCTCTTTCCCCCTCCTCTCTCTCTCCCCCCCCTCCCCTCTCTCTCCCCTCCTTATCTCTCCCCCTCTCTCTCTCTCTTTACATTGTACACAGATCTGACCCAACAAGGTGTCCTGCATTTACCGTATATTTCGCTCCATAAGACACACTTGGGGGGAAACGTCTGTACATCTTATGGAGCGGCCGGCCCAGTATTCCCGCCGCTGTTGTATGTTCGCAGTCTCTGGTCATCTCCTGTACTGTGTCCGCAGTGTGTCCGCAGTCTCTGGTCATCTCCTGTACTGTGTCCGCAGTCTCTGGTCATCTCCTGTACTGTGTCCGCAGTCTCTGGTCATCTCCTGTACTGTGTCCGCAGTCTCTGGTCATCTCCTGTACTGTGTCCGCAGTGTGTCCGCAGTCTCTGGTCATCTCCTGTACTGTGTCCGCAGTCTCTGGTCATCTCATGTACTGTGTCCGCAGTCTCTGGTCATCTCCTGTACTGTGTCCGCAGTCTCTGGTCATCTCCTGTACTGTGTCCGCAGTCTCTGGTCATCTCCTGTACTGTGTCCGCAGTCTCTGGCCATCTCCTGTACTGTGTCCGCAGTCTCTGGCCATCTCCTGTACTGTGTCCGCAGTCTCTGGCCATCTCCTGTACTGTGTCCGCAGTCTCTGGCCATCTCCTGTACTATGTCCGCAGTCTCTGGTCATCTCCTGTACTGTGTCCGCATTTGTTCATAGTTTTTTTTTTTTAAACTATAGTCCGGCCCTCCAACGGTCTGAGGGACAGTGAACTGGCCCCCTGTTTAAAAAGTTTGAGGACCCCGGTGTAAAGCATGAACCTGGGACAAATATATCTCCCATCCTGGACACATCCCCTAGTTCTTCCTGCCTTCCTGTCACAATAGATAATTATTGATAGATAGATAGATAGATAGATAGATAGATAGATAGATAGATAATTATAGACAGACAGACGGACGATAGATAATTATAGATAGATAGATGAATACACAGAGATATAAAACAATGTAAAGCAGTCACAATCCTCCTCCTGAGCACATGATATAATCTGGGTGTACTGAATATAAAACCACAGTAATGTCTGAGATCGCAATCCTGACTTTTCTCTCTCATATTTCACATCAGGATCGGAGGAGAGGAACCTGCTCTGGCTGTTAAAGCGAGGAAGAGGGGAAAGGCCAGGGGTCACTGACACCAATCATGTGCAGTATTTCTTATGTGTAGCTCTAGCAGTGTCATTTTACATGCATTGTTGCTGGTTTGGACAAAATTAGAAAACAACAACTCACCCCTCAGGGTAAAGCAGGCTTATAGTGATGAGGGCAATGATCCTTTTTTTTTTTTTTCTTTTAAATCCTGAACATAATGTTAATAATAAAAAAGAGAAACAAAAAATATATAGAAACCCCCCCAAAATTTAAAATGTTGCACCTCTTCCCTTATAAGTGACTATGGCATATTACTTGAATGGGGATGGTTGAGCATACAGACCTGCTGTCCCAATACGAGTTATGCAGCCAATGAGGCAACTGAGGCAACCAGCCAATATTACTGACCTGGTTGCTAGGATGCTGGCATCACTGCACCATAACAACCACTCATGCTGTGTGGCCCAGCCACCAGCATCCTAGCAACCAATGTACATTGTCATTCGTTGGCAGGATGCTGGTGGCTTGGCCATAGAGTCATTGTTGCTTTGGAAGCACACAAAGAGGAAGGATAGGGCGGGGAACGACTATAAAGGGCCTGCTTGAGATCACATTGGCTTTTGAATGTTCCCGGGTGAAGCAAAAATGGCCGCATTGACATAGACATGCTTCTGACCTCTAACAACTTAAACGCGTTGGATGTAAGTAGTTTTCTTATTAATAAAAATACTTTGTTACTACCCCACTAATCCTCAACCTTGTTTCCTTTTTTTTTTTTTTTTTTTTTTAGCAAACAGGCTTTGTTATCTTTTATCACCCCCCAAACCTGTTGGCTTCTTCATGAACTTTTTATCAATAAACAGACTTTGTTCCTTGAATTATTCCACCCGTCCATGCTCCTTTTGTTAGATGTTTCTATTATCTGGACATAGTGGCCCTTTGGTTTGAGAGCTGCCTTTTATATAGCCATTTTTTTCTTGTAATGTGGAACCCTAAGGCTGTATATAAAGAGACTGAGCATTTGGGATCTGATGCCAAATAACCCACACCTTAGTCTTCCATTTGTCTGATTTTACTCACTTCTTAACATAGTGACATCTCATAATCTACTTGGTGGGGGAGCATCATGATGGCTTTCTTGGGTAAAGTTCCCCCACATCTGGGGATGAAAATTCATCAATGTCCCTGGAAGTTTGGGATAACTGGCGACTCCACTCCTACAATGCACAGCATGCACTGTGTAACAAAGACTACTAAGGTATGCTGGGGCTTGTAGTATCATAGTATCAAAGTGACCTTGTAAAAATAATCCCCCCCCTTGGCAGGCACCTGCCCCTCTCACCCTCATCATTGGAGTCAGGGCTCCCTCTGATGCTGGGTACCTCAGTCATCGTCCAGGTGTACTCTCTCATCTTCAACATCTCTGTGTTTACTTCCTGGAAGGAGACCACTTCCTGGTTACTAGACCTACTCCTGCCTGGTTACTGTTTACTTCCTGGAAAGGAAAGAGGCCACTTCCTGGTTACTAGGCCTGCTCCTACCTGGTTACTGTTTACTTCCTGGTTACTAAGCTTACTCCTGCCTGGTTACTGTTTACTTCCTGGAAGAAGGCCACTTCCTGGTTACTAGGCCTGCTCCTTCCTGGTTACTGTTTGCTTCTCGTGAGGAGGCTACTTCCTGGTTACTAGGCCCACTCTTGCCTTGTTACTGTTTACTTCCTGTAAGGAGGCCACTTCCTGGTTACTAGGCCTGCTCATGCCTGGTTACTGTTTACTTCCTAGAAGGATGCCACTTCCTGGTTACTAGGCCTGCTCCTGCCTGGTTACTGTATACTTCCTAGAAGGAGGCTACTTCCTGGTTACTAGGCCCACTTAGTGTTGCCACCTCATCCCTTTAAAACCGAGCACATATTAACTATGCAGGTTTTGAGGCTATTTTATTGCAGATAAGGCATCAAGTGAGTTTAATTTCCACCTTAATCCGCCATAGAAACTGTATTTAATACGTGTTCGGTTTTTAAAGGGATGAGGTGGCAACCCTAGGCCCACTCCTATCTGTTACCGTTTACTTCTTGTAAGGAGGCCACTTCCTGGTTACTAGGCCTGCTCTTGCCTGGTTATTGTGACCCCCATTTCTAGGGAAACTAACCCAGCCATGTCTTTGTACTATTACAATTATCCGGTATATTTTATTTTAAAATATCATTTACAATCACAAATCTCCCTTTAAATAATGCTAATCTGCAATAAAAACTCTTCAGGCCACACCAAGGCCTCTGTATATTGGATAAGCCCACTGGCTTCTTTTCCAGGCAACCTCATCTGTCCACAGCCGGCGCCAAACACAAACTTGCATCACATTCAGCTATGAAGTGAGGTTGGTCAATGACCACTCTAGTGAGAGGAAGTTTAGCTACCTGAGAAAGTGACATCACTCCAGCACAGCGTACGGCGCATGCGCACATTCAGTATCAATACCGATATCAGGGAGATGAAGGATATATACAGTATCTTTTATTTTCCCCTGAACAAACTGTAACACAGAGGCTGTATTTAAATATCTTCTGGAGCCTGTAATGTGTTCAACTTAAAGCTCGCTGTACACTATACAATCTGACTGTACAATCTCTGTACACTATACAGTCTGGTTGTACAATCTCTGTACACTATACAATCTGACTGTACAATCTCTGTACACTATACAGTCTGGTTGTACAATCTCTGTACACTATACAATCTGACTGTACAATCTCTGTACATTATACAGTCTGGTTGTACAATCTCTGTATATTATACAGTCTGGTTGTACAATCTCTGTACATTATACAATCTGACCGTGCAATCTCTGTACATTGTACAGTCTGGTTGTACAATCTCTGTACATTATACCGTCTGGTTGTACAATCTCTGTACACTATACAGTCTGACTGTGCAATGTCTACACTATACAGTCTGACTGTACAATCTCTGTACATTATACAGACTGATTGTACAATCACTGTACATTATACCATCTGGTTGTACAATCTCTGTACACTATATAGTCTTGTTGTACAATCTTTGAACATTATACAGTCTGGTTGTACAATCTCTGTACATTATACAATATGACTGTACAATCTCTGTACACTATATAGTCTGGTTGTACAATCTATGTACATTATACATAGATAGTGTACAATCTCTGTATTATGTATAGTGTACGATCTCTGTACACTATACAGTCTGATTGTACAATCTCTGTACATTATACAGCCTGGTTGTACAATCTCTGTACATTATACAGTTTGGTTGTATAATCTCTGTACACTATACAGTCTGGTTGTCCAATCTCTGTACACTATACAGTCTGGTTGTACAATCTCTGTACAATATAGTCTTTTTGTACAATCTCTGTACATTGTACAGTCTGGTTGTACGATCTCTGTACATTATACAGCCTGGTTGTACAATCTCTGTACATTATACAGCCTGGTTGTACAATCTCTGTACATTATACAGCCTGGTTGTACAATCTCTGTACACTATACAGTCTGGTTGTCCAATCTCTGTACACTATACAGTCTGGTTGTACAATCTCTGTACAATATAGTCTTTTTGTACAATCTCTGTACATTATACAGTCTGGTTGTACAATTTCTGTACACGATACAATCTGACTGTACAATCTCTGTACATTGTACAGTCTGGTTGTACGATCTCTGTACATTATACAGTCTGGTTGTACAATCTCTGTACACTATATAGTCTGGTTGTACAATCTCTGTACAATATACAGTCTGATTGTATAATCTCTGTACATTTTACAATCTGACTGTACAATCTCTGTACATTATACAGTCTGGTTGTACAATCTCTGTACATTATAGTCTGGTTGTATAATCTATGTACATTATACAGTCTGGTTGTACAATCTCTGTACATTATACAGTCTGGTTGTCCAATCTCTGTACACTATAAAGTTTGGTTGTCCAATATCTGTACAATATACAGTCTGGTTGTCCAATATCTGTACATTATACAGTCTGGTTGTACAATCTCTGTACATTATACAGTCTGGTTGTATAATCTCTGTACACTGTACAGTCTGGTTGTACAATCTCTGTACAATATAGAGTCTTTTTGTACAATCTCTGTACATTATACAGTCTAGTTGTACAATCTCTGTACAATATAGAGTCTTTTTGTACAATCTCTGTACATTATACAGTCTGGTTGTACAATTTCTGTACACAATACAATCTGACTGTACAATCTCTGTACACTTTACAGTCTGTGCAATCTCTGTACAATATATAGTCTGGTTGTACAATATCTGTACACTGTCCTGAATTACCAAAACTATGTACAATGAGGACATGCCTGAGTAATCAATTGAATTTGTATCCCATCAGGCAGGCCCTTGCACTACATGTGGTTTTTTTTTTTAGGCATTTTGCCTTTAAAAACTGCAACGGACCCACACCTGACCAGTGTACAGAGTCTTATAGGATTTAATGGTCATGCGTTTTTCTTCCTTTTTTTTTTTTTTACACACAAAAGGGAGAAAAACTGATTAGTG